AAGTCGCCGATGGGGGCTTTCCCCCAGTATTGAAAGAAAGCCGGCGGGGCATCCGATGACTGGCGAAGGTGGAGGGCCGTCCGAGCAGAGGACCCTCCGCCTGGGCCGTTTCCCCGGCTGCATTGACGCGCCTCTGCTTCACAAACCCACATGGGGGAAACTCCTCTTAGCTCTGCTGGTCCTTTTTTTGTGGAGGGGGGGAAAACATGTCCAAGCACAGCCCTAGAGTAAATAGACGCCTCTATGGGGACCAAGGGAGGCTTCATCCTTCTCCAGCCCAAATCCCGTTGCTTTGTTTCTTGAATGGCCCATTTCGTCGATTGTGTGGCCTCAGTTTTGCACAATCCGCCTTGTGAGTCCCAGTGAGAAAGGCGGACTATAAATAATGTCAACAAATAAATACATCGCCCCAGACTTCGTTTGCGCCTTACCCGGCCCCACGCCCCCCTCTCGCATCTACTTTGAACCTCCTACAAAGCTGACATCATGTTCAGTTTTTCCTTCTTTGTTTCTTTGATTTTCCTTAACCTCCAGGCCCTGCGAAGCATTCATAAGAACATAAGAGAAGCCAATGTTGTATCAGGCCAAAGGCCCATCCAGTCCAACACTCTGTCACACAGTGGCCAAAAATACCAGGTGCCATCAGGAGGTCCAGCAGTTGGGCCAGGACACTAGAAGCCCTCCCACTGTTGACCCCCCCCCCCCAGCACCAAGAAGACAGAGCATCACTTGCCCCAGACTGAGAGTTCCTATCTATACCTTGTGGCTAATAGCCACTGGTGGACCTCTGCTCCCTATGTTTATCTAATTCCTTCTTGAAGCCGTCCATGCCTTACAACCGAATTCACTACATTGCAGTGAATTCTGGACAGCTCGAAAGCTTCCTCGCTGCTTTGGGAAGGGTTCCCCTGAGGCTGTTTCTACATTAGATTCTCCACCTGTGCTGACAAGCAAATGGCTCGTCCCTCCACATTCGCACTCATCCTAAACTAACGCCGCTCCACCGAAATCCTGAAGGTGCCCATTTTACTGAGAGAGGAATTGAGGCTTTGCGAGAAATTCGCCGTGGAATCCTAAACAGCGCCGCACCCTTCTTAAACCCACGGATCTCCACAGATTCAGAAAAAGTGTAATGTTGTTGAGGCTTGCGCTGTCATCTCTCTGTGACTACAGACAGGTCCCTCGGGTCCAAAGTCCCAAGCAATGCTCCCTCTAAACTGTGGAGTCTTGTGAGCAAAAATTCTATTGTGTGAGCTACTGGCATTAAAGTGGTGAGCGAGGCAGGCCCGCTGGGTTCCGAAGGTTCTCGGCCTTCGGGAGAGATGACTACCCGTATTTACCTGTCCGCCTACTCCAGTGCTGAAGGATCTTCGGGGACCTTTTGTGAAGATGCGAAAATGGAGAGGAGTCACCCCTGCTAGTCTATTGCGACAGAACTGAAGCGAAGGCCAGCAGCGCCTTGGAAGAGCAACACGTTTCCGTCTTTTTTATTTCGCAGAACCGACAACGAAGGGTGCCAGTCTTGGAGGAATGTGTGGCCTATCGAAAGAGGCAGCGAAAACAAACAAACCAACAAACCCCTTCCTTCCTTCGCCCTAATCCTAACCAGAGTACTGAGAAATGGGACCCATTCCATGGAAATGCACTTCTGTCAGTGTGGAGAGGGGAAATGTGTGTGCCTCTTAGCGGGGGCACCTTTCCACACGGAATTGCCTCTGGGGAACTTCAGGGGGAGGGAGTTCTAAGGCAGGCAACCACTTTTAGGCATAGTAAGCGTGGCCGGGATAGGGTTGGCTTTTCCTCCACGCCGATGAAGGTGCTTTGAGGGACATGTACAAGACTCTGGCCCATTCTGCATCGAGCATTCGCTCGGCTGTTCTCCCAAACCCAGGCTGGAACAGAAACCCCCCTCTACATTGCATGCCCCTTCCACTTTCTTTGATTGTCGGGTTTTATGGTAGCCTCCACACTGCATGCCGGCTTCACTTCCTTTGATCTCTCGGTTTTATGGTACCGTCTGCATAGATTGATGGGCCTTCAGGACTGGCTCTGCTGTCAGTACGGCGTTGGGCCGGGGTATTTGGATGTGGTCTTGAGCCGCATTTTTTTCTGTCCCAGTGTGGGGGTTTGGGAGAACAGCCGAGCGAATCGTGAGGGATGCAGAATGGGCCTCAGTGCATTCGTTCCCGGTCTTTCCGAGTGGTTCGCAGCCGCTGGGGGCGGGAAGGGACGCCAACACTTTCCCGCAGATAGTTCGAGACGGGCGGCCCTGTTAGTCTGTCTGTGTGAGCGGGAAAGAGCAAGCGTCCAGCAGGCAGCGGCACCTTCCAGACTGACAACACTTGTGGGCAGGGGATGAGCTCTCGGGAGTCACTGCCGAAGCACGAAAAACTCGTCGCCTGCCGCAAATGTTGTTCGTCTGGAAGGTGCCGCTGGACTCTTGCCCTTTCCCGCTGCTCCGCGGAGGGGCTGATCCCAGGGAACCACCACGAGGGCTAGAAACTTGCTCGTGAAATGAGCATCCCAGGGAATGTGCTGAGAGAGACGCACAGAGAGAGGAGAGGTGGTGGGTCGACCCAAGCCAGCATTCCCGACCCTGTCCCCGGCGTCCTGCTGTCGGTCACCCTTCGCGGCTGGGCAGCCCGGGATGAACTTAGGCAGCTGCTGCCAGGCGGACGAGCGAGCCAGCCCTCCGAGCGCGCTCTGCCTTTTGGCTTCGGCCAGGTCCGCCGGCTTCCCTGGGAACTGCCTGTGCCCAAAGAGGACCAGACCTGGCGGGGCCAACCGCGGTGCGGAAAAAAGCAAGGCTCTGGCCACCACTCCTCCCTCCAGCCGTCCGATCCAGTGCCGTGGGGGGGGGTCGCGTTCGGTGCCTCCTCGAGTGTAGGGGGGGGCTTGTTGTGCTTCGCAGGTGAAAGCGCGTGTCTGCAAACAGCCCCCCCCCCAAAAAAATAAAAACACCAAAAAAAGGACGGCGGCTGCGCGCTCCCGGCCTTTTGTGAAGCGGCACACACACCAAAAAAACCTCAAAACCGGCATTCC